AAAATGTCTTAAAATAATTGTCGGACTTTGTCCATTTCATAATGTGTAACATGTAAATATGTATACATAATTTTGTGTACAACTTAGCAGCATAAAACTCTCTCTGAGAACCAAGCATGTTTGTCATGATAATGTCAATATTATCTATTTCTATACAGAAAACATTTGGCATTGATTGAACAAAGAATGTTACTCCTGGTTGAAATTTATAAAATCTCTTGATGAAATTAATTTCATAGGAAAATAGGTTTCTGAAGTCAACATCTTGAGTATGCCATTATTTTCTCTTTGAATTACATGTGCTATCCATTTTAGATATTGCTGCTGTTGAAAGTCTTCAAGTGGTGATGTTTCTGCTATTTGGTAAAGTATTTTGCGATTCTGTAGTGCCAGTCTGTGTACTCCTTGCTAAGACCAACATGCTTCATTCGCTCAAAGCCACTTTTAACCGTAAACACTTGTAACCCTTTTTTAAATTTTTACCTTTCACATGCAACATTCCATTTGCAGAAATTTCTTTCCACAAAAAAATATGACCAAATATAAATAAAATTAGAAAAGACTAAAGTCAAGCAGTACACATAGCATCAAGCAGTCTGTAGCAGCTGCTGTTGATTCAATGAAAGAGGTAGTCGAGCCAACATGCAGAGAGTCTTATGATATCCCACCAAACCCTAATAAATATTTTTCTGTTTTATTTCAATTTTATCATGGCTCCTGTATAATGATATTAATACACATAATTTAATAATGAAAATACACATATCTCAAACACCTTGGTAGTACATCAGGAAGCTTAATCAGTAATGTTTATTCTGAGTACCATTGGGGGCTTCAAGCTTATAAAATCATCAGAGCCCCTGTCTCAGCAGATCAACCAGGAGTGATCATCTAGTCAGCTTCCCAGATTATCTTAGTTCATAAAAAAAATCATTAGAATTCAATCGTATAAACTTTTTTGAATACTAATTTTTTTGAATGCTAAATTTTGCTTTGAAAGTTTAGATTGGTGGTTAATTGTAAGCAGAAATACTTGAAAAAATTCAGTTAACATCTTGGGAGAATTCAATTTAATTTTTAATTACTGCCCCAACTTATATGTTAAATTAATAAGAATTATTCATTTTTATCTAAGATCATAACAGTGTTATTTGCTTACCCCCACATATATTTTAGGACAGACCATTGATCTCAGTTGTATGAGAAAAGATTTATGTTGCTAATGTTTGAGAGATTATTTCAATCCTTTAATAAAATATGAGAGGAACACACTGCCCTGAACTTATACTCCAGCACTCTAATGGACTAATGGAAGTACTCAGAATCCATATACAGCCAATCACTCAAGTGTTTTATATTTTAAAACATATTCCTAGTGAATATATAAAATGGCTGCTTGATTTGTACTTACTTTGGAAAGAGGGTTTATAGATATTTAAAAAAAAACAAACAGCATTTACAATATGAAAAATGGTAAAAAAAAACTAAAAAAAATAAACTATAAATACTTAAGTGTAGAGTTACAAAATGAAACTTACAAACAGAATAGGCATTCAGTAATAAAGACTAATTTAAAAAAATGTATAGAAAGTATGTTTTTCATGTTCTGTTTGAAGTCATAAACTCAATTTGTTCATTAAGTTAGTTTGTAAGTACAAGAATGTTAACCTTTATCACTCTGTACGTGACTTAATTTGCTGCACAAAAAGTTTATCCTACCACTGAAGCTGATTCCGATCCCTGAACAATAGTGTTTGAATTTTATAGTTGTGTTGTCATATCCTTCTATGGCAACAGAAAATAGCTTTGAGTGAAAATAACAATAATAACACTGTAATTGAGAAGCCTTGAAAAAGAATGCAGTGGAAAGGGAAGTAATATTGATAATGCAAAGGGCTAAAGGTTAATGGATAACATGGTAACAAGCCACCTTGAGGAGAGGTTAATGCAAAATTATTAGATAAAACAACAATGCAGGTTCAATTTCATGACAAAAAATAAAAATTGTAATTTGTAAGTTACCAGATGATGGCAACTACATAGGCTAAAATATTATAAAGATCTTTTTTTTTTCATTAAGCAAGCTTCAATTTAGCAAGTTTATTGCTAAAGAATTCAATTCTGATTGTATGAACTACAATTATTTTGCTTTGTGCCAGACTAGGCTAAACTTTGTGAATACCTGAATTAAAATTTATTTATATCTCTTATGTATTTAACAAAGACATACAAAGAAATATATTCATGGTAGATTTTGTAAGATCTTTTTTGTAAGCATTAGTTTGCAAGAATCCAAAAGGAAACATGATAACAATCCACCCTGAGGAGAGTTCAATGAAGGATTATTAGGTAAAACGATAGTATCAGTTCAATTTCTATGACAAAATCTAATGAAACATGCAAGTCATCCAATGCTTAAGGCTGGAGTCTATGTCTTCTACAATACTGCAAAAATACTATCATCATTAATTTGTTTTGTTTTTTTTTTGCTAGTTTTTCTTACATCTTATCTCTCTTGCTTTTTATGACAACTTTCAGATTATTTTTCTATTACCTTTAAATAAGCAACATTGATTGACAATAAAATATAAACCTTTGCCAAGATTTCAAATAATATCTGTTATCCTTGGGAATCTATCTGACTATAAACAGTACTTTACCAACTTGACCAGAAAGGCTTTAACAAGAATATGTTCAAATCAGCTTAATCCCTCTCTTTTATAAATGGTTTGACAAGCATTTTGAATTTCAAAAGGACAGTTTTCCCCATGACACCCTTTTTTTATTTTAACTACCATCACTCCTTGGCAATGTTTATTGTTTTAAAACATGATGATTAGAATTGTAATAATATCTAAACATATGATGAAAGTGAATTTATAAATTTTTTTTGGCCTTTTTGAGAATTTACAACAAAAATATTAAACACTATTTATTTATTGAATTGTTTACTTACAAGAATATTTTTATATTTACAACATTCTAAATTATATTAAAAATAATGCAATGCAATATTTATCATTTACTAATTTAGAAAGAAATATGAAAAAATTTTATTCATGAATTTATAATTATAATATTAAATATAATTAAAATAAACAAACCAACTATAAGTAAATCCTTATTATTTAGTTTTATAAAATTCAAATCAACTGGCAAGTAGCCAATGTTTTACTAACCATTCGTCTAAACAATCTAATAAATAAATTGTGTTTATTATTTTTGTTGTATATTCTCAATAATAAGGAAAATGTATAAATTCACTTTCATATGTTTAGATTTTATTAAAATTCTAATCATCGGTTTTTAAAGCAATAAACAATGCCAAGGTGTGAAGGTAGTTAAAATAATAGCAGTGTCAAGGGAAAAATTGTCCTTTTGACACATCTGGGGGGTGGGGGCCACCTAAGTCCATGTTTCCCAGCATTTCTATGTAGAAATTTAAAGACTGAGTTAGCCTGTATTTGACAATGAAGAGATGTTAGATATTCCACAATAATAGATGCTATAAAACTTTTTCAATTAATGCATTAGTGCAAAGATTTTGACAATTTTACAGTATTCCTTTATCACTGCGAAGATTCAACAGTTGAAAAAAAATGGAAGAAAAGTACAAAGTAGAAGGGAAAAATTCTTTGTAAAGAAAGGGTAAGAGTAAAAAAAAAAACATTTCAATCTTTGAGAAAGTTTACAAGAATTTTAAGTTTATAGTTTTCATTCACTTCTTAAAAATGATTACATAACATTCACATATATCCAATTGTGTAAGTTCTATAAAAAATAAAGACTTTATCAAATAACAGAATCAATATAATTAGTTTTTTTTTTCAGAATGTGGCATAAAAAATCTGATTTAAAATAAATTTTTTTTCACTTTGTTTTCATTTGTTATCAGTAACATTTAAAAAAAAATAGTTTACATTTTTTAAAAATTGAAAATTCTGTACAGCAGTAAAGAAAGCTTTAATTCCCAAATTCTTTATAAACCATAAAAATACTTTGAAAATTCTTTTAACTTTTGGTTTGAATAATAAGTAATTACAAAGGTTCATAAAAAATGTTCATGTTTCATTTATAATTATTTAAAAAAAGAATGTTCTGCCATTTTTGCATGTCAGTTGATTCAAACTGATTTCTTTAAATTTTATTGTTTTGTTTCTTGATGACATTTTGGCATTTTACTCTCTGACCTTCCTCAAGTATCTGCTGTGTTCATACTAACAGAGTGTGCACTTTATCCCCTAATAAATATTGGCTCGAATTGGAAAGGTTGAACATCTCTGTTTTCAAGGATTTAATGAGAGCTTTAACAGAATGATTGTAGCAAAAATAATGGCATTGAAGAAATGTCATAAGATATATTTGGGTTGGGAAAATGACATGATTTCTGTCTGTGAATAGGGGGGAAAAAGACAGAGAAAAATAAGTAATATATTAATTTAAAATAAATGATATTTGAATTTAATATATTTTCACATAAATTAAAATGCTACCAATTTTAAATGAAAATAGGTCAAATAAATTTAAATATTACCTATTTTAATACATTTTCAATGAAAATAGAAAGGATTTTAACTTATTTAATATATCTTAATATAATAAAATACATATTTAATTTCTACTTATTATTAAATAATATTTTAAAAAATTATCTGACAAAATCATTCTTGGACAAAATGTACTGGCAGACCAAGAAGACATTTTGCACCAGGGCTTTTGATTGGCTGATTAATTTTAATTTTGATTGGCTGATTAATTTGTTTTTTATTTATAGCTTATCCGGTTATTTAAGGCCAGAAAATATATTTAGATTTTAATAATTTCTTGCAGATAATAATGATTTACTCACACAAGTGCTACTAATTAACCCATAGCTGAGGAAAGAAGAGGTGGATTCATACCTTTCCGAAGTGAATATAACCAACCTGACTGGAATTGGAACTTGGCTCTCTGGTTTTCAATTCCTAGTTGTTATCCATTACACCACCCACACATCGAAGCTTACAGCACCTGGTATTCCCAAGTGGTTACTCACCTAGGTACTAACCATGTTCAACGTTGCTTAACTTCAGTGATTGCACAGGAACCAATGTTTCAATGTGATGCAGCCATAAGCCCCACATCATTTGAAGACTTCCAAAAGCAGCAACCAGAAAAATGGATAGCACATGTAACTAGAAGAGAAATTAACAACATAATCAAGCTGTTAACTTTTCCCATGAACCAAAATAAAAAGTTTGGAAGGAAACTCCATCAATACTAGAAAAAGTGATAAAAGTTAATTGCTTAACTTCAGTGATCATCTAAGCTTACAGAACCTGGTATTCCCAAGTGGTCACCCATCTATGTGCCAACCATGTTTGACATTGCTTAACTTCAGTGATCATACAAGAACCAATGTTTCAACATGACATGGCCATAAACTGGAAAATTTTGGGAGACAGCATTTAGTTGAATTAGTATAAAATAGCAGCATGCAAAATTAGTAGTGACATTATTAGCTAAATTCACTTTATGGTGAAGAGTCAGTTATTTCTTCTTATGCCTCTTGATTCTTTGGGGACATAGGGCTGCAACAACACCTCTCCAATGGATGGAGTTTCGGGTGATCATCTTCAGCTCAGCCCATGTCATGCTGGCTGCCTTCACCTCTGTATCAACACTTCTATGCCAAATCTGTTTTGGTTGACCCACTTTTTGCTTCCCTTGTTAATTCCAGTCAAGGCCCTGCCTAGTGACACTAGAATCAGGCTTGCGGAATGTGTGGCCGATCCATCCCCATTTCTTGATGTCAATCTTAATTGGAGCTTGTTTAGACCTGTCCCATAGTTGGTCATTGGAGACGACTTCAGGCCACCTGATATTGAGGATGCTCCTGAGACATTGGTTGGTAAATGTCTGAAGTTTGTGGGTGTTGGTCTTGGTTACCTGTCAGGTTTCTGAGCTGTTAAGTCTGTCAGGGGATTTTTCTTATTTTTCAGTGTCTATATTCTTAATGGAATAATATTTTATCCTAAAAGTTGTTTACTAAAAAAGCTTTTTTTTCTAAACATTTTTTTCCATTTTCTTATTTTGGTGTTGCTAAGGTTTTTTTCTGCGATCAAAACAAAAGAAATGGTTAAAATTGTAATCTTTCCTTGTATTTTGTAGATGCCGTCCAGTTTAGAAAAGTTTTTAGCAGGGTGGCCAATTCACAACCACCTTGGGCTAACATCAATGTTTCATATTAATTACTGATAAACTGGGATCAAATACAGATTGAATATACATCAGAATTCAAGAAAATAATAAGATAAAGAACAAATAGGAAATGTTTATCATTCTAACATGTTCCACTTTTATTAAAACTTCATCAGAGAATTAAATATGGAGAAAAAAAAGAAAGAAATTCTGAGATTTTTATGTTGTTTCATTTTTATTGGTTAATCAGGCTTCACGTGAATTTGGCTTGTTAAACATTAGTATAATTTATGGCATTCCAAATTCAAGGAGAGATGACACATTTTTATTTACAGTTTTTCAGTTAAGCTTTGAATCCATTAATTTCTTGTAACTTTGAAAAGACTTGTTGTCTCTCTTTAAATTCAGAACACTATAATTTATACTGGTGTTTGTTTAACAAGTCCAATGCACATGAAACATGATTAATCAATGAAAATCAAACACAAAAATAAAAACACCAGCATTTCTTTCTCCTTTTCCCTCCATATCTCATTCTCTGATGAAACATTAATAAAAGAAAAACATGTGAGATTGATAAACATTTCCTATTTGTACTTATATTAATTACTCTAAATTATGCCTCATTTTTATTAAGGTTTATTAAAGAAAATAAAATACTATAACTATTTTAAATAAAACTATTATTTATTTTCCTGTATGACTTTCCACCCTCTACACAAACAAATTGTACCTTATGACCTTTTCCTGTCACCAATTTAATGGGGTAGTGACTGATATCTTGAAATAAAGTCTGCTTCTAGGAAAATCAGTTCACTGTGTTGTGTTAAACGATTTTCCTCTCCTAAATCTGTCTTACATGTAAGTCTACTATTCTTTCATACATTGAATGTTATTGCCATGTCGGGTCTGATGCTTCTGCTATATATCTCAAGATTCTTGAGTTATCGATCATGACCTGGTATCTTGGCTTCAATCGCTTTCCCACCACTGTAACATAGATTCCATGTGCCTTTTCTATAAATATTTTCATGGTAAATATTACATAGACTTTACAAATTTAAATTCAGTACTAGATTGGCAACTAGGTCTCATTTTACTGTTTGAATTCCTAGATGTAACCATAACTTCTATTCTAATAGTTTCTTCTCTCACACTTCTTGCCCGTGGAGCAAGAAGTGTGAAAGAAGCCAGTTTCTGGCATTTTTGTTGACTATGATCTTCAAAAATTTAAATACATGAAGTGTCATCTTCTGTCTTTTTGAATCCTAATCTTTTATTGTCCTTTCTCCTCAATAACATTTTCTCAGTTTCTTACATTTTCAGTAAACCCTTGTGTCTTAGTGGCTTTATCGCCTTGCTTGGAGTGAAATGATTAAAAGAATTAGAAGACCATTGGGTGTTGATCATGCTTTTTTATGCTATTGAAATTATCATCTCCCCCAGAGCAAGATTCAGTAACATTCTAGAATGCAACAGACACCTGAAGAAGGTCAAAACATAAACAGCTGAAATTTGCAGTAAAATATATATATATATATATATATATATATATATATATATAAAATAAAAACCAGTTGGAAAGAAATTTGCCTGAACCAACGTTCATACAACAGCTAATAAAATTTAGATGAAAACATCAGTCAATTTTTTAAAACCTTCCCCCCCCAATTAATTTTCCAATTCCTTTATCTGTGTTTTTTTAAAAAAATATTCTCATCATTAATTTTCTCTTTTCTTTAATCTGAGGTTCAATTTTGCTGCAATATGAAGTAAATAAATAACCAATATATATTTATAAATGTAAAATTAAACAATATTGTTACCATTTAGAGTAATCTTTAACAATATTGGTCCATTTTCCATTTTTATTATATGATTTATAAACATTATCAAAATACACATCCAAAGAATATTTGGCCCAAACCCTCCACCCCAAATTAAAAAAAAATAAAGTCTGTTGTAAGAATCTTCCAAACATATCTTGATTACACAACATCAGATTTTATCAGGCAAGTCAATATTTTCTCAATAAAATTAAGATTTAGTTTCTGCGATAGATAAAATGTTCAGGGTGTACTCATCATAATAAAGATACCAAATGAATTTCAGCTCATGTCTGTTTTTATTAAAGATATCTGTAATAGACATGACTTAGGGAAGAATTTTAAACAATTTTTTTTCTAGATTAACATTCACTAAATCTTCCTTCATCCACAATAATTGTCAGAATCAAATAATATTAATTTTCTTTTTTATCATTTCAGAAGTGGGGGGAGGGGCTGTTCATAATATAAATACAATGTCAAATCGATCCTTGTCTTCTTAAAGAATTATCTGTACTTTGTTTTTATTTACAAATATCAAGTTTGAAACTTTGCTTATGTCATGGAAACCTGCATACTATTACGAATTGAAGAGGACAACGTCAGCAGTTACCAATGTCGCGTGTACTGTTTCAAACTTTGTAAATCTATAGATTTACAAAGTTTGAAACTGTACACACGAATAAAGTGTAGTCTACGTGTCTGGCATCCGTCCATTTTTTGATCTCAGCAAATCATATACAACCTGAAGTAGCAGGTAGTAACTAATTTAGTTACATGCAATTAAAAATTAAATAAATAACCCATTTAAAGTGAAATTTAAATGACAAACAGAGTGAAAGGTTTAAAAAACAATTCTTTATTAAAGGTTTAACTTTAATTTGGCTTTTTGCCGCAATTACAATTGATATTGTCTAATTAAACCGTAATTAAAACTTAAGTGGGGCATAGTATTTTTCTTTTTCTAGCATGTGTACTGTGGCGTATTTGAAATTTTACATAGTTCAAGTTCCCTATTGTCTTTTAAGAGTGACTTTATGTAAAGGGATCATAAAGGGTGGTGATTTTAAAAGAAAATAAAAATTGCATGCAAAATAAATGTAAACAAACTAAGGAAATTGGTTGTGTATATGAAGAATGATTATGCCAAATTAAGGTGTCAAATAAAGATAAAATACTTTTATTATTTCTAAATTCTTATAACTTTTATGTACATAGGATGCTGAAAGTAAAAGGTTGAAGGCTCAAATGCCCTCTGCAGGAGCTGGCCTAAAGTATGACCAAAGGCGGCTTCTAGGCTAATTTGTAAATAAAAACTAAGTACAGACAACTCTAAAAGTCAGGAATCGATTTGATACTGTATTCATATTATGTACAGGATCTCTTTTAAAAAAAAAAAAAAAAAAAAACTCAATATTTTTACAATTCTAACAAATGTGACTTTAGGAATATTTAATGAAGGCTAAGCTACAAAAATTATTCATCCACCCAAATTGTCCTTCTTTTTTAGAAACTGGCTAATCAAGGACCTACAATAAAATATTTCATTGCAAGATATATTATGTAACTCAAGTATTGTTCTCCATATTGTAAATAAATATATGTAATCATATAGTTATTGCATTTGTTTGTTTTTTAATTTCATATATTAAAAAATTGGTCTGTGTTATAAGAAAGATATCAGCTCAAATATTGTTAAGTAGTTACATGACTGGTCAACATGATTTTTGGTGCCAAGAAACAAAACAAGATTTTTTTGGCCAATTTGATGTTTCTGATTCTGAAAATGACTTTAGTTTTTCATGGTTAGCTACTAGTTTTGCTGTACTGAAATTGCTCAGTTTTGGAAAAAAGATCAATTTACAATCTTGGCTGGTCACAAAATTTAGTCAATAAAGATCATAGAAACCCATCAATTTTTAGGTAGGTCGAGCAATTTATGTCAGCCACTTGAAATAAACCATTTTGATAAGAAAAAAAGTGTTTTTGAGTCAAAAATTTTAAAATAAAAAATACCAAATTTTTCCAATTTATGACCAAAATTCAAATTAACTGATAAACTTTATTAGTAATACACTTTAGTAAACCTGATAATTGAGGTGACATCAAAAAAATGAAACCCTAAAATCTGTTTGATATTCATAAATTTATCCCATCATTTTTATCCCTTCACTACGGAAGGAAACCAAGCACACTGAGAGCATTTTGTTTTCACAGTTGAAAAGAAACTCCAACTAGATATCCCAATTGAATACACTTATTCCACTGTACATGATACTGCTGGAGTATCAAAAGGGACTGAAATAACATTGAACATGACAGAAAATCAAGAAAGAGAAAATTTTTACAATAATTCTTATGTTCACGAAGGTTTTATTTCTGCTGTTAGTTTATTAAATGATTTGATGAAAATACTTTTTGGTCTTGGTATATTCAGTCGTGTTATTTTTAAAGACTTAGGGTCTGATTGTTATTACAAAAATAGTATTTCTCAATAAGCAGACCAATATTTGTTGGTTTAAATATGAATTGAGAGGTTTCTACAATTTTGTTTTGAGAAATATTGCCATCGGTCAATATACATACAGAAAACAAATGAAAAAATGTTTTTTTCCAAAAATGAGGAATTTCTAGACAGCAAATACGGTAGCTAACAAAGAAAAAGTAAGGTCATTTTCAGATTCAGTACCCTCAAATTAGCTAAAAAAGATGTTTGGTGTCTCGACACCATTTCAAAAATGTTTTTTTGTTGACCAGAGTTATAGGAAGACCATGTTTGAAATTATGAAAAAGATGATCAGTGATCAAAAAGCAACAAAAAACAAATTTAAAAAAAACATTCGCAAGATACGAACAACACAAAAAACTGGCCTTAAAAATATCACAAGAGATTTGAGAAAAACTAAGAGTAATAAGCAAGGAAAGTGAATTTTGACCAATAAGGAAATATTTGAAGAAGCTTGAGAAGCTGTAGAATATGAATTAGTTAAAGACATAAAAGCAACCGACTATCACCTTTAAGCAAAGATCATAAAGAGAAATATGCAAGTTGGGTGACAAAGTACATGAAAACTGATTTCTCAACATCAGTCAACTAGTACTACCTGTGAAAAAATTCACGTCTTTGTTATTTAAATTTTCAGAGGAAACCCAATTTTTAAGTTAATGATAGAATAAGTTCATTGCGAGTTTCACAACAATAAAATACCTGTGAAAATTACCTCATTGCATTACTAAATATTTGAGTTTAACAACTTTAACAAAATATTGCAATAGCAATCAAATATGAATGAAGGTCATTATTTAAAAAGTAAGAAGGTACAAATGAAAAGATTAAAAACAGACATGGTTTTCCATTTCACTGAAGCAGACATTAAACACATGATAGCATTATCACCTCCTCTATCTTCTCTCTTTTTCATAGTGAAACAAAGCATCTCTGATAAGACTTTTTCCTCTTTCCACACAATAAAAACAGAACAGTCTATTATTTATGAAGTACAGTTAGGGTGTAGTGTATGTACCAACTAACAAAAGAATGAAGGAACAAGTCGAGTTACAAGGGGATTTTACTAAGAAAGAAAATAATGACTTTCATAATAAAATCTAACAGTAAATAAATTTCTGTATTGTTCAGGCATTTTTGTTCATGACCATAGACTAATTATATATTGGACTTAAAAATATAACAAGTTTAAACAATTTTCAGTCATGAGATGTCAGATAACTTTGATAGATAATAATAAAAAATACTGACATTCATTTTATCCATTGATAAACTCAACACAAATTTTGGATAAAAATGGATTGCTATAAACCTGGCAAAAGATTAAAAGAATTTTCTTCCCAGATGTAAACATCTTAGTTTAAAATCAATACTTCCTGAAACCGATAACCAACTATTAAGTAAGAACAGGAGCCAAGAACTCAAATAAGCTATATTTATTTTTTGTATAAGTTTCAGAATAAAATCACAATCAATGTCAAACTGACATAGTTTAAATCTACATACAACAGCCGCCATTTTGAAGTTTGTTTTTTTTCTGCTATTTTTTAGGGAAGAATGACATTAACATCTCCAGGCTGAAAATATACAACAATGACTGGAAACTTACATTCTTCAAAGAATATTACCAAACATTATTAATTATAAATATAATTTAAATTTTTGTGGGTTTAATTAAAGCCTAACTGAATGCTATAAAAAAAAATCACATATAAAGATAGTTATAAAATATATTTGAATAGAGAATAATAGGAAAAAAAAAATAAGGATAGAGAAAAATACATATTTTCATTTAAAATAAGTTGCATTTATTTAACTTGATAAACTAGAAGTCATATTTAATAATATAATAATTAAATAACATTGGAAGACACTTTAACTGATAAATATTTTGTATATACTGCATTGGCAGACCTAAAGGTGGGGGACGGCAACAATTTGGTAAATTAGTAGAATGAAATAGCATTAAAAAAAATATTTGAACTATTTTTACCTAAATTCAATTTGATTTTTTCTTTGTTTTTTAGTGATGTTCATTTTGTACAAGGCCTGGGAGCAACTCAAGATAGAGGGTTACAGACTAAGAGGCACAGGATATGTGGAGGAGATAACGGTTAACCCTAGTCTTGAACAGGTTAAGATTATAGTGATGGGGGAAACAACCACTTGGGAGTCGGCTCCTCAGAATAGACGTTTGTGGGAAGAACATACAAGTCACCAATGGAATACAAAAGGGAATGAGTGTCATTCTTTACAATGTGCATAGCATGGTGGGTATTAGTTGTGAAGGAACTAAGAAATGTAGTGGAACTAAGGGACGTACTCTGCCTGAACATTTTCCATGGTAAAAGCAATAGAGCAATGAGAGGCTTGTGACATTTTGTTTGTAAGAAAGGTGAGTTAAGTAATACTAAGGCCAGGAAATTGTGGAGAGACATGATCGTCCATGTCTTAAAGGGACAGGGCATATAGAATAAGAATACACTGAATATTTACTTTGTTGGGGGGGGGGGGTTACACTATAAGTTGTTTATGGTTAGGGGATCTTATTTTCATAGTGACTATACTGTTAATGTAAATATCATTTTTTCCTAAAAAGTTATTCTTTACTAAAAAAAAGTTTTTTTCTAATTATTTTTAAGCATATTTTTTCCAACTTATTTGATTGTTATGTCATTTTGTTTTTATTGTAAACAAAAGGAAAAATAAAAGACTATAATTGTAATCTTTCCTTATATTTTGTAGAGGTTTTCCAATTTAGGAATGTCGCTTAGAGTACAGCAAGGCAAATTCTAAAACCACCTTAGATGGCAGAAGCACTATTGATTGCTTGAATCATTTTTTATGGCTTATCCACCCTTTGCAGGTCATTTAAAGCCAGAAAATATTTTTAGACTGTAAGAATTTTTTTGGAGATAATAATGATTTAATGATACAAGTCTTACTAATTAACCCATAGTGGGGGGATAAGAGGTGGATTCATACCTTTCCCAAGGATATTTGCACATAAGTGAATATAAAAAACTTGAAACTTGGCTCTCCAGTTAACAATTCTAAGCCATTATCCATTACACCACCTGCACATCCAAGCTTACAGCACCTAGTATTCACATGAGGTCACTCATACTGACCAGGTTTGACGTTGCTTAACTTTGGTGATCACATGGGAACCAGTGTTTCAATTTGATATAGCTTTAAGCCTACAAACACTAGGTATACCACTGGCACAAGACTTCTGTCCTCAACATTTAATATTAATTAATTAATTACTATAAATTATGCCTCATTTAATTAAGTTTTACTAAACAAATTAAAATACTATATATTTACATCCCCATCTACTGAAACAAATTGTCCCTTATAATCTTGAAACCATGAAATTAACCTCAAACCAAAACGTTGCAAATGCAATATATCAGGGGTTTTCAAACATTTTGACTTGTGGACCCCTTTATATTTCAGGCTTTACCTTAGGGCCTCCTTATAAATGCTTATGAAATTTATACATAAATATTTGCTGAATATAACATAATTTTGCATTAATGCAAACGCCTAACAGCCAATGAGAAAGCCGGAAATCACAAAATAGATCAAAAATTCAAATCCTTTGGTTCCTTCTCTGCATGAATAGAATCCATTATCTTCATCAATTTAAGATACAAATTATATTAGTATATCAAATCTATGAAATAGTTTATTGAACCAATTTATTTCATGATCAGTCTATAAGTTACTTATAAGTGCTTATAAGTTGTACGTCACCCATAAAAAAGTGTTTGCTGTCCACGGACCCCCTATCTTGTCCTTGCGGACCACGGTTTGAAAACCCCTGCAATATATTATATGGTTTAACCCACCCTTCAAAAATGTCAAAACTAATATCGGAAAAATTTTTGAATTTAACCCATAAGCACTTCAGTTATTCCCCAATGCTAAATGAGATTTTCAACAAAAACATTAAAGTTAGCTACAGTTATGCTAAAAACATTGACCAATATATATCACAGCACAACTGTTCCATTCTAAACAAAGACCTCAACAACCTTCAAAACAGCAACATCCCTGCAACTAATGAATGCAACTGCCGAAAAAACAAACCCTAACCATTAAACGGCAGATGCATGACCAAATCGTTAGTTTATAAAGCTGAAATCAAATATGACGACGAGGTCAAATTTTATGTGCGCTCTAGGGAAAACCATTGAAACTTGCACTTCTACCACCACCAAATGACATTAGGCAATATCAAATATAGAAACAGCACTGCCCTCTCTAAATTTTTCTGGAAACTGAAAGCCAGAATAAAAACCCAACTATCACCAGGGAATCCTTAACAAAAGCTAAACCCTTTAGTGGGATGGGCAACAAATGTAACTTATGACTTTCTGAAAAATTAATGATCCTAAAAAATATGAACAATACAAATCTTGATTTCTAAAGGTTTTTTTTTTTTTAATAACAACAGTGTCCATTTTTAAATTAAAATTTATAATTCTTATTTTCAATCTTAAATGTTAAACTGGTTCTAAATTCAAACTCAAAATTAGACTACAATTCATTTAAATAATTAACAGCAATAATAATCCACCCTAAAAATAAAATATGTCATGATAACCAGAAATATTAAACAAGTGGTGTTAACCCCAAAAATTTGTGCCTGATGATTGCAGAAAGCATGAAACTCTGAGTTGTGCAATCAATGTAAGATATATATATATTTTTTAATATATTAAATAGATCTATTTCACACTGAGCATTGTTTTTTTTTACACTATAGAATATTTTATATATATGTATTTGTATATGAACACTTGCTCATACATTTACCTATATTCATCCATTTGATTAATAAAATAAATAAAATTAAAAAAAAAAAAACCCTAATATTTGGCCATTTGGTCAAAATTTGGGAAATAGGCTGAGCCTGGAACCTTTCATATGTGCACATTTATGTATGTAGCTGTCCACATACATATCCCTGCACCTACTGTAGTGTGATGGTTAGTGAGCTCATCACCAGTTCATTAGTTTATCAAGGCTGAACCACACTGGGTACCTCAAGTTCACACCTTTGTCGCAGATGAAGCTGAACACAGTAAATAATATACTCTTAAAAATATGGTTCAAGGTTACTAATAGGAAAAGTGTAGCTACCTGTCATCCTTCCTGTGCTATGTTGTAAGTGAAAAAGGAAAAAATATGTTTATCTGACACTACATGATCATTAGATAGGAAATAATGTTCTAGGAAAACAAATTCAGGATTCTTTCTAATGTAATTTCTATTAAAAGATATTCAAATAGCAAATTTTCTATTTTATATCCAAGAAAACAACACTTCACACTCTTTTAAGTATCAATTTCAAATGTCATTGATAGCCTTCTGGTGTCTGTTTAAACTGACACCGACTTTTTTCCGTATATTGTGATTATTTTGATTAATGCTTGTATTTTCTTGATTCCAAATGAAAACTTGAAAAATTTCAATCATATTTCACTGAAATTTTCACTTTCCAAAATTATAGTTTACAATTATAGCTTAGATATATGGGGAAAAAAAAGGTATCAGTTTAAATTTACACCAGGAGGATACGAATTATTAAAAGTACACACAAACACACACAAAGAAAAAAAAAGAATTTGTTGAATACATACAAAAATAGGAATATGTTTGAATATTTCTTTAACCTATTACACATCCTGATTGACAATTAAAATATAAACAACAATTCAGGTGTTCTAACTTTACATAACGTTTATCATTAATTTTACTCAATACTAGACGGATTCTAAAACTAGAATTTTCTACTTGACATTTTCTTGCAAATGATTCCTAAAAGGAGAGCACAATGAGCATATTTCTTCAAATTTATACTTAGCAAAATTCAACACTTGTGATACAAGTTCATAACATTAACAAATCATTTACATATTGAAATAATTTTTTTTCCCCACACCACAAGTCACAGTTACATTTCTAAAACTGATCATTTCCAGTTTTTATCACAGAATATTCAATAGAAAATAAAGAGAAATTAAAAATAATTGACTTTTACCAAAAAAAAAAAAAAAAAACTTTCCCTAGTTAATTAGTATAATAAATGTCACAATATTTGGCAGAAGATACTAGTCCATCAAAAAAATAAAATTCAGTGACTGATTTTTCTCTTGCCAATGTGCTGAGTTCTTTATTTTTGTAAATATAAAGTAAAATTAAATGTCCATATTTGATTAAAAACTATTGTAATGGTGGAATGATTATATGTTAACAATTCTTCAATTTTCATGTTGAGTGATTCTTGGCTGATCAATTCCTTTCCAACATCAAATCTGGAAAAAAAAAAAAAAATACAGATTTAAACAACAAGAAACATTTGACACAAATGAATAAAAACTCAGAAAAGAAATTTACCTCCCAACCTGACTGACCACAGTCAAGTTCATAGAGTTCACAATTCTGTATCACAGTTAATTTTGAATTTTTCCCAGGGTTGTATAGTATTTGTTCCACCAGGTCTATATAAAGTTTTGAATTCAGAGTTGTCCTTCTGCTAGACTGGCCGTTAGCAGAGCTGGACTTACCTATAATTTAAATAAGCTACAGCTTAGAGCTTGGCTCATTTTTTTAAATATCTTTTTATTTTATTAGTTTTTATTCTTTAACACTAAATCAGAAAAAATTATATATATATATATATATATATATATATATATATATATATAATAAATTAACTGATTTAAAATATGGTTTCTTTTGCTACACAGTAATAACCATGTTTCAAAAGCTGAAGCGAAAAACTTCAAATTTAATTATATATTATATAATTAAAAGTATGGTTATTACTGTGTAGTGAAGAAACCATATTTTACATCAGTTAATTTATAATATTTATTCTCTGTAAATTTACATTGAGCACTATTTTGTAAAAATAAAAAATATCAATAAGAACACCAGTTTATATATCTTACTGTTCTTTCTTTTTATATATATATATATATATATATATAAAGAACAAAAAATAAATGTTTATCAATCTAACATGTTTCACTTTTATTAAAGTTTTATCAGAGATTGAGAGAAAACAGCAAAAAAACAGAATGTTGTTATTTTCAATTTTGTTTTGATCAATGCTTATTGGTCAGTTGTGTATCGCATGCACTAAAATCGTTGATAATTATATATGCATGTAAGTTTGTAAAAAATTCTAATATGTTTAAGTGAGCATATAGAATTATCTATGGTTTTAGAGCACATGATACATGACTGACCAATTAGACCAACATCATTCATCTGTGAAGATGATGAGACAAAGTGGAAAATATTATTAAAGATGCATTTTGTGTAAATGTGTATGCTCTCTTTGGCTTCCTCAGTTTAAAATGAAAGAAAGACAAAACTGTGTATGGGGATAATGCCTTAGGATCTCTGAGGATAAGTGGGTATCATAAGTCAAATTAATTACCCTAGATTATCAACTCCTAATGTCCAGACTTGGAGAGTTCCTGTGCACCTGTGTGTTTGTTTTATCTGTATTAGACCCATTTTGTATTGTAGGATTTTAAATAAGAGATATTTTTTTTTATATATATATATATATATATATATATATATATATATATACACATACAAACACACAAGCATATATATATGGAACCCCTTTTTTCTGCATACATGTATACATATATATGCCCATCAATTATTCATCTGTGTAGCAGACAATTACTGTCAACTGTCATACACTTGTCTCTCAGACCATTTACAAACGTCTATATTTTATGTTCTAAATATTCATAAAAGTATTTAATCTTCAGGTTTTGATCCCTACAATCTTAACCTGTTCAAAGCTAGGGTTAATTGTTATCTTTCCCACATATCCCATAAACTGCACTTCTTACTCTGTAACACTTTACCTTGAGTGGCTCTTGGGCATCGCACAGGTCGATCATTGTAAAAAAGAACAAAAAAAGTTTACTGTATTTGAGAAAACATATAAATCTGAGATTACATGACTTGTGAACTGGTTCTTGATCAATTAATTAAATGCGAATTACCTCCCTTGATCATATTACCATGAAAATGGTGAAATGCAATGAGATGTAATTTTCTTCACAATTAAATAGGTGGGCAAGTCATGTTGTTATAAACAAGATTAATGTCAATTAAAAGAAAACAGACTGGCCTC